AGAATGAATTTTTACTGTGAGGGTGGTGAGGCCCTGGCGCAGGTTGCCCAGAGAAGTTGTGGATGCCTCGTCCCTGGAAGTGTCCAAGTCCAGGCTGGGTGGGGCTTGGAGCAACCTGGGATAGTGGAAGGTGTCCCTGCCCATGGCAGGGGGTTGGAATGGCACGATCTTTAAGGTCCCTTCCAACACAAACCGTTCTGTGATTCTGTAAACTTTGTCCCCGTGTTCCAGGACAGTAAACCAAGGCCGTACTGGAAATTGCTGCCGGATTCATCTGCCCTGACATTAACAGAGCACATGTAAGGCTGCATCCAGAGGGTGATGTACACACAGCTCCCAGCCCCCACTTCCAAATTCTAGCCATGGAAATAGTTCCTGGGTGCAGGGCTGGACTGTGCAACTTGGATCCCAGCAGGAATCACACCCACTGCACCCCCATGCCACGTCCTAAGGAGATGATGCGTGTTGTGCTGAACGTAGGCAAAAACGTGACACTTGTCCTTTCCTTCCAAGTTTCCTTTAGAGAGAATAAAATAAAATAAAATAAAATAAATAAATAAATAAAAAGAAGACATTAAAAGGGGAGGATGAATCACGTCTTAGTCAGAGTTGGGGCTCGCCAGAGCAATTGCTGCTGGTGCTGGCATTTTGATGCTGGGGGGAGCGTGCCAGGAGAGGCTGGCTGGTGACCAGTACATTCTTCCAAAGGGGATGGAGAATTAAGTTCAGGATTCTTATTGTGGGATGCATCCAGAGCCTAATTCCACTGTTCAGGAGGTGAGTTCGATGTTAGAGCAGCAATGGAACAAAAAAAGGGAATTGAGGGAGTTTGGCTTTGATGTTTTGGACAAGTTTGCAGCCTGTAAACCCCATAAGAGATGAGTATCCTGTTCTCACAGAAAGAGGTTTTTTCCCCCCTTTTCTGCCAGACTTCCCCTCTTTGCACTGCCCTTCCCTTTCCCACCTCTCTGCACCTGCTGCCTTCATCCCTCAGACGCTCAAGGTCATTTTTTCCCCCCATACACCGCCAGGACTTTCAGATTTTGAGCCCTGCATTACATTTATACCTCTGTCCCT